CCTCCCCCAAAGCCACTGAAGTCTTCAAAATGGTGGGTGAGTTACCACAAAGTCTCTATAAAAAGAGTATCTACATCTTTATAATAAACATTAAGGAACGAACTGATTAAACTAATAACACCTTGCCCTTGCAAAATTCAGGAGTTTTATTTAAAAACCATCTTCCTACTTCAAAGACAGGACAATTGAGGCTCAGAGGATTTTGTCCTTCTCACCCCAGGCGTGACTGTCACCTCCGTAAACTCAAAAGGAACATTACAGATCATGATGGAATTTGATGGTAAAAATCTTAAGAAGCCATGTGGAAGTTCTTCTAATCTCAACTAAGGTTTCAATCAATAAAGGCCTCCTAGTACTAGAAATTGCACCTGTGCATGGACGCACACAGATGCACAAGCACACACATGCACACACACAGACACGCACGCACATTGCCTTTGGTCAATTCACTTATTCACTAGGCTGTACAATACAAGAGTCCCAGCTATGCCTCACAAGTTATCTAAAAGTGACCGCCACTCCTCTCCTCTGACTACTGACTCAGGGTGTTAGGTCTCAATTCAATAAACCACTGCTTTTCCACCAATAGCAATCACTTGAGGTTGTGGCCTAACAAACACTCTATAAATGTGTAAGTTGCACCTGCCACTTACATCAGGTTCAAGACCTGACTCCTATCCACAATAGTTTATCGGCTTTAAGCAACCACAATGTGACCTCTTTGAGGACAGGGACCCCACCACATTCATCTGCATTCCCAGAGCTCAACACAGGCACACAGCAGGCACTCAGTAAACATCTGCCAAATAAATGAACCCGGCACACTTAAGAAAGATATATCATTTTCAAGTCTTCTACACAAAGGTCGTGTCTAGAACTCCAGTAGGCAGATGTGTAAGTAGAAAATGCAGTGGACTTGAATCAGACGATGTGGGTTCAAGCCCCTAGTTTGCTAAAAATTCACTCTACTGTCCTGGGCAAATCTCCCAACTCCTAGGGGAGGGGGAGTCTTATTTCCCTCTTCTGTAAACACAGAAGGTGACTTCTTGGTTTCCATTTCACCCTTAAACTTGTAAAATACGAAGAAAAGATGTGCCCTTGAGCTATGGCCACAATATTAACTTGATGATAAGGGCAATGAAAATAAAACAGCCAGAGGCAGCTATTCTTAACACAGATGTTGGCTAATAACAGGCAGTAACTTTAACAGCAGGTAAAGCCCATTTGCCTATGTTCACATGTGATACACACATTTGATTAATTCTCTGTAGTCTCTTTCAGGGAGATGCAAATTTCAATGATTGTTCCAGGCAGAAAAGCCTCCAAGTGGAACAATGACACACAGACATTACTTCCAGGTAATAAACAGATTCTACTCAGACAAAGAAAAATAAAGCAGCCTGTGGCTACATTCCTGTAGACGCGCTCCATTTGTGGAAGCACTGGGGCTGAGCTCTAAATGTGAGCCAGACGCGGCTGAATTCTCATTTTGGCTCCGACTCTAACTCGGAGCGGATGGTCCTCAGCCAAGTCTCTCCTCTAGAAGCCAGGCTCTGGATGGGTATGACAACCCTCATAAACCATCCAGATTACAGGGTGAAGCTAGTAAAGCATTTCACAGATGTAAAGTGTTGCCAACTCCTCAAGACAATTGAGGAAAGCTGTCAAGAGGCAACGTGGCTCGGGTGGAGAGCCACAGAACATCGCCTCTCCTAATCCTGGGCTCCCACAAACTCACTGGTGTGCTCCAGAGGCCTCAGAGACCCTCCACTTACAATATGGCTACATTTCCTCTAGTGAAAAGCAAGGAAAGCTGTTTGAACCTACACTATCCAGAAGAGCCTCCTGCAAAGCTCGCTAAACCACACAACTCACAACGTTAACTGGTTGTGACTAAGTTAGGTTTGATTCTCTTTTAAGGGGGACATTTGACACAGTGGAGGTAAATCAAGGCAAAGCATACATTTATAAAAGATAAAGGTCTGCTCATGAAATAAGAAGCTGTGTCAGGAGCCATGTTAGTCGTTTTACTGTTTTATTTTCCTTTCCTTAACCATTAGGTATCACTGGATACCAGATACACAGCGCTGGATAAAAAGTTTACAAGATAGTATCAGGAAAGTTCCCACCAAAGCCTGCTAATAGTGCTCTCTCTGATTAGAAAGCAATTCTGTAGTTTGAGAACTCTAATCCAGTCTTATCAACCCTCTGGGCTTTGTCATTTATCAGGGTGGGAACGGGAGGTACATCAGTTATGCCACAGAGTGATTTCTGGGGCCCCTGCCCATGAGGAAGCAGATCATAAAGAAGCTCATGCCTGCCAGAGTGAAGTTTTCACCATAGCAACACATGTTACTCTACAAACAGTCAGGACTAAAGCGCTCTGTTGCGACCGGTCTGGACAGTGCCCCCAAGAACTGAGCAACTGAGGGTTCAGAAAACAGAGGGGGCAAGAGAAAAGTGGCCTCTATTTGGCTTGCGGGGCAGCCTCCTCATGGTTTTTCCTCCTCCGCAAGGCTGACAGCGGCAGCACGGCACCAAGACCTTCCAGCACCCAGAGCCCATGTTCTCGTAAGACGGATGGCAGAGAAAATAGAGGTAGAGCAGCCGCATCATAGGCTTGCTGAGGAAAAGAGGGACTCTTGTAGACGAAAGCAGACAACTAGCATTGGAGAACTTGGGGAAAAGGGCTCATCGCAAAGCGTGTCACATCTAAAACGAAATACAGTTGGGGTGCTCAATGAGCTGGTCTGATGGTGGAAGGTCTACTCAGATCCAACAGCGTGGTTGTTGAGACTTTGGGTTAAGTGCCTGTGTGCCAGGCACAGGGGTGGGCATCTAGACAGGTATCAGTCTTCATTCTGCAGTCAGGCTTAATAACACACTAACGCCACCTTCCTGGAAATCACATTTTGCCAAGCAAAGAAATAAGGATAACAGATGTGCCTTATGTCCTGTAGGACAGGGTGATGCTTGAGGCTAGACCAGGAGAGGAACTGGTACCAAAGTTTTGCTCTGTTGCTCAGATCACTGAGCAATGTATGTAGAAATTCAACCACAGAACAAGGGCACCCAAGAGAATCAGCAGCCTTTCCCAGTTTCCCCTGACTAATTTCTCCAGAACACCACTAGTGGACCACGTCTGAGGCTAGAGAGAAAGATTCGTAAAGCCAGGAACTATAAAAGCTGGCAAAGAAATGTCTTCAAATGTGCGTTATTAAAAATGAGTCAAAGAAAGACAATATATGTCCACAGGGTCTGTCTGTGCCATTTATATACTTCTTTGTATTAACACAATATTATCAGGCCTGTTTCATAATGCTAATATTAAGAGACAGGACCAGAAGCTTCACTTTGGATTATGATGCTTAAAGGTATTATCTGGGAGGATGTGAACTGGTGCCATAGAAGCCACATGCTAACATGTGTGACACTATGGGCTTCCACTGTACATGCTGCAACTACATCACCCCGACAAGTCAATTAGATACAGGGAAGAAGGAAGTTTCTAGAAAAATGGTCGCTCTACCACACCTGGCTCCAAAACAATTAAAAACCAAACACCAGCCACTACCCCAAAATTCCTCTAAGTCCTAAACCTTTAAGTTATCACAGACCAAACAAGAACCAAACTTACAAATGCTGGGCCCAGAATTTTAGAAACATTTCCTTGTTGCAGGTCCAGCAGAGCTTTAAAATAGGCAAACTTTCTGTCAAGAAATGACATTTTAGAGGTAATGTGTAAGTTGCTTTCTCTCTGCTCCATGCACCCCCTTTTTCTCATTCTGTATGCGCTAATGAGAGTTTCCCTCTTTCTCTGCCTGTTTCAGTTTGAAACGTGGCACTGAATGGGACACTGGAAATCAAAGGGAAAGGGAGTAGGGGGAGAGACTCCCTTTCACACGCATCACACACACCCCAACTGACCACCCACCCTAAAGGACAGTCAGGCAGGACTCAATCTAAGACAGGACTGAAGGACTAAACTGTTGAGCAGAAAACTCCCCTTGCACTACCTCTCCCGAAAACAGAGTTAAGAAAGAGAAAGCTGGAAGGGAAGGAGGGGGAAAATAAAGCTCCACATTCCTGACATTTTTTAGCCAAGTGCTGTGGCTGCACATAACAGCTCTATTCCAAACAGCCTGCAGGACAGAAGGAAAACCTGAGTTCAGGGTAAAGAACCTGCCCCCTAACTTGGAAATGGGAGAAGGAATCTTAGCATGGCCCAAAACTAAATCAAAAAGAAGAGGGAGATTCACCCTTTCATGTGTATTCCCAAAAGGAAGTGATCCCAAGGGAAGGAATTGGAGTCATCACTTCCCAGGGGACAGAACTGAAGTATTGGGGTCTCTGAGGAGAAAACTAGCCAGCTGGAGAAGTGGCAAGGCAGGAATGAGATGGAGTGCAGTTAGGATGCACGGGCTGGTGCTGCCTACGGTCTGAGGAGAGGGGCCCAGTTCATTGGCAAAGGCTGGGCAGGGGACCCCAGAGGGAAGAGTGGCCAGGAGACACACTCTTTGTGGGAAGAATTATAAATGAGTTTTCCTGACTCAGCTTCTGAATGAAGGAATTCTAACTCTGCCCAAGTTAGAAACCCAAGAGCCTGCCACCTCTCCTCTCTTCCAGTTTCCTCCTTCCCTTTCCACCTCCTTCTGTCCTCACTTCTAGGAAAAAGCGTGTTAATGCTGGACTGCTCCCTCTATATGTATCCCTATATATACACATACACACCACACCTCCAGGGAAGAACCCAAAAGACTCTAAGTGACGTTTAGTAAGTCCTGTGCTGGGTTATGAGGCACGACCCCTGGCTTTACTACAAATGTAAAGATGCCCACATGTGTTTCTCTGAGGACCCTAGAAAAATGAGCCA